CTTTTGCTTTTTGCCTGTTTGCTCTCACTCTTGATGGCAAGTTCATCTATTCTGATGTTGAGTCATTCCTTTTCTGGTATTATTAGAACACATCTCTTAGGGATTCCAATTTAAGGGATTCTGAAGACCAGCTGAAACATCTACCATGGACTGTACAACTACCAGAGTCTTAAGCTTTCCATCAGGATGGGCTATTGTTGGGTTAACCAGACCACAGCCTGTAAACAATTATATATAAACAATTATATATAAACTGTAAACAATTATATATATATATATATATATATATATATATATATATATACATATCCCTTAAAGATTCATTTTGTGGGGCTGGACTGGGATCACCAAGGTGGCTCACTCACACAGGTGTTTCGTCTATTGCCATGCACACACCTGTTTGGAGGTCCTTATGCAATTGGTTCCTCAGAGTGTGCGATGAAAGAGAGATCAAGGGAGAAGCTGCAGTGCTTCTGAGAATCTGGTTCTAGAAGTCCCAGGCTCTCTTTTCTGACATAGTTTGCTGGCAGTGAGCCAGGAGGTGTCCCTCACGCAGAGGGGAAGGGGGGCAAGCTCCATTTCTTGAGAGGAGCTGCCTGAAGTCTATCATGGGCCTTTAAAAGCCACCACTAGATTGTTGATATTTTCCCCTTCGAGCCTTATCTTCAACAATGACCACACAAAGAGTAACAAAATGTAGTCAAAGATGTAGTCAGAGGTCAGTAAATGGGGAGGTGGATATCGGGGCAATTCATTCAGGACTTCAGCTCTTCAATCTAACCAAATAATTGTTCTTGAAAACTCTAAAAGAGCAGAAGTTGGCTCTAACTGGATTTCTTTTTCCAACTTAAAAAAAGTGTTCGATTTTACTTTTATGTTCATGTATGTTTTGCTTACACATGCATGCAGTGCTATGGAAGCCAGAAAATGGCATTGGATCCCATGGAACTGGAGGTGTAGGAGGTTGCAAGCCTCCCTGTGGGTGATGGAAACTGAACTCAGGTTCTCTGCAAGGACAGCAAGTGCTTTTTACAGGTGAGTCATCACTTCTTCCAGCTTTTTGAGGACTACTGTCTTGTGTAGCCCTTATGAAGATGAGGTTGGCCAGCGTGTAGCGTGTAGGGTTTGCTCAGGGCAGGATACCAGTAAGACATCCCTACCAACAGGGATAGAACTGTTTAGTTGTAGTCATTCAGACTAATAGGCCAGAATGCAGGCTGCAGATGGTAAAAACTCTGGAAGAAACAGGCTGGTTCTCTTCTATTGCTAGTTGGCAAAAAAACAAAACAAAACAAAAAAAAACAGTCACAGATGATGATGCTAAGGCTACAGAGCAGATCCCAGTGCCAAGATCAAGCCTGCTAAAAATCACTGCAAGCAGCAGAACCCTCCCATGGAATTCTCTGCTTTGATCCCTAAAACAGAGACCAAGGTGGCTCTGGTCCCTCTTTGGCTCTAAGAGCAAAACACAAGGAAGGAAGCTCTTGGTAGCAGATGGAGAGGTTGTGGGAACAGAGATGACTATCAGGTCACAGACTGATGCACCATGCAACAAAGACAGATGGTGAGAGAGGTGCCCAGTCTCCAATGGCTTATTGCCTTTTCAGCACACACCCCGGTGTGTGCCCTTTGCACACAGCCTCTTCAGGGGCTTCTGACTTCCAACACATTTTTTATTTAGACGTCAAGCACAAAGTAAGTGCTCTGAGGTTGGATGCTCTGCCGGCTGAGAGCACTTCATCTCTGTTCAATTTTTCACCAGATTTCTGATACACTAATGATTAAGAGGAGCGTTGGAGTGACACAATCCATGGAACTGAGCACTGGAGAGAAGAGGACCCATATGGATGTGAAGTCAAGGGTGCAGTTTGCGCTTTAGTACATTCCTGCCTCTAAGACAACAGTGCAAGGGCCAAGTTCGAAGAAGCATAGAAATACGGATCTATTCTTCAAGATCTAAACTGGCAGGACCTGCCATTTCTAAGAGACTCATTGGGTCTGCAAATCCTCTCTTTAAACGATTGTGCACCAGCCCTCCTACATAATGAACAGGGATCTGTTAAGCTGAGAGCTGTGTGCTCATAGAGCTATTTAGTTAGCTGCATGGTGACAGTCTTTCCTCCAAGTACTCAGAAGGCAGAATTCCCCACCCAAATGGCTCTGAGCCCACTTCCAAGGTCCATGTGAACTTTCCTCAAGATCCCGAGGTGTGCATCCTTAGGCCCTTTTCTTGACTTTAAAAATGATTTGTGAGTGTGTGCACACACATGTACCATGGCACATGTGTGGAGGTCAGAGCACAACTCTCAGGAGTCAGTGTTCTCCTTTTATCCTGAGTTCTGGAAGGTGCTTTTCATGTGCCTGAGTCATCTTGCTGGCTCCCTCCCTGGACTCTCGAAGTGCTTGTCAAATGACTGCTTTAGAGTGGGCAAAGTGGGAACAAACTTGGCGATGGGAGCCCAGGAGGCCATAGAACGGTAGTTACGTTGTAGTGTGGGCCTGGATTGGTATATTGGTTCCTTTACGTACTGTTGAAGCAAGATGCTGGAGAAAAGAAGGGTTTATGCTGACTCACACAGGCTACAGTTCATTACGACTTGAGTGATGGAGGATGGAGTTTGAGTTACTGGGCCACATTGCAATCAGTTTGGAAGCAAAGAGAGATGAATGCTTGCGCTCAGCTGCCTTTCTTCCTTCACGTAGTCTGGGAATCCACCCCATGTAGTGGTGCCACCCGCATTTAGGTTGGGCCTCCCCATCTCAGTTGGTCCAATTTCGATCAGTCCTCACAGACATGCCCATATGCCTCGCCAATGCTTCTGGGGCCTATTAGGTTGATAATGTTAATTATCACAATGGGCTAGGATGCACTGGGAGAAAGGCTTCTCTGCCTTTTCTCTCTTTAGCCTGCCTGGTTCCTGCAGGGAGCTCTGAGACGCTCACTCTGTTAACAGGATTTTGATCCCAACCTGGTCATCCAAGATATTTACTAAGTATATTTGTTAAGGCAAAAGGGTATGCCATCTTAAAATTGCACAGTATGTTAGCTTGTTTTATGTTTTTTATATATGTAGACATTGGGTAAGAGTGCTTCCATGCCTAGCTTCCTCAGAGCTCCTATACATATTTGGATCGGTTCTAGTTTTCCATTTAACTCCAAATCAGCTCCAATTACCATGGCTTGGTAGCCTTTCACTGTCTGGTTTCTTTCTGATCCCCACCCCCCAGCCTTATGAATCTATATACCGACTGTCTGACTTACAGCCAGGATCAGTTCAAGTGCTTTTATCTTTATTCTGGTTCATATTATTTTTCCCTGAAAGCCTTCCATTTCTGCCTCTCATTTATAAAGGCCAACCTACTATTTCACCACCCAGCTCAAGCTTCACAGCCGCCTCTCTCCCCTCTGGATTTGTCTCACAGCTTTTGTCCGAACCAATTTGTGGTTCTGAGTGTGCAGTGGTGTGTGGACATTTTTCTTATTATGCACAAGGTGTGGGATAAGATAAGGGGCCATCAATATTCAACCATTTTCAAACTGGGAGAGAGGACTTTTTTTTTTTTAAAAAAAAAAAAGGTAGCCATAAAATTAAAAGAGCACAGACAGGTACTAAAGGAAGCCACCCTTAGCATTGTCAGTGTGCTTCAGAGAGACCATTGGGGAAAATGTCCCATCAAATAGATCATTTGTCTATTATAGGAAAGAGGTCTTTTGAAGCCAAGAGAGCAGCAGATTGTGTGGGCAAAGGCAGCACTGGAGTGGGGGAAATAAGCAGTGAGAAAGTGGAGATCACAAATCCACTTTAGCAATCTCACGAAGTGGGATTCCTGGAAGGATAAGGCAGCTGGAGTGGGTAGAACAGGTGGGGCCGTCTTGTTCTGTTCAAAGAATAGGAGCTATTGAGTGTGTTTGGGGAAAAAAGGAGTCAGACACTGGTAATGGGGGAAGGTGATCGAACAGTCTAGACCTGGCTGAGATCCAGTGTACAACGGCGGGGTTAACCTTGAGAAAGAGTTAGGGTACTTTATACTATGGAAAAGGGAGGCTAGGGGAAGATGAGGGCTACAGGGTAGGCATAATAGTGAGAGAAGGGCTTAAATGTGAGAGGAATGGCTGCCACCGTAAAGGAAAGGCTAGGAAAGCCCAATTTCTGAGGCCAGTCCAGATAGTAGCACAGTTTCCATCCATTCCTTTCACATTTATTCAATGCCCCGCCTGTGCCAAACACTGCTGGGCCCTAGGTCCGCAGAGATACATGTTTCCGTGTAATTTGGGAATTTGTTAGGCTAGCACTCCAGTGAGATTTCATTTCTACTCTTTAAGAAGACTTTAAGTCTCATGCACAAATGAATGGGAAGAGTCCTTTGTTAGACGAGATGAACTGGGTTGGAGCTTGAAGCATCCATGATAATGTCGCCTTATTTGAGGTAAAAATGTGAGAGGCCGAAATGGGGGAATCTACATTAAAGGGGTAGACAGACGAGGGTAAACTGAGGCTGTAAGTCTTCAGACTGATAGATGGGACTTCCTTGTTTACTTCAGATAGCAGTGTAAACAAAGGTAACAGCACCTCAGTTTACCAGCTTTAAACACAGCTTTTCAGCTAAAGCAGGACGCTCTACGGCGGCCGAGCAAGTCCAAACTTAACCCAAACCGTGTCACCTAAACTACCTTGGAAACAATCGCCCAGGTCCCAGACTTCTTCAGGTCAGCAACACCTTTGCCCGCTTGTTATTGATGAGAGGCGGGGAGAATCACCTTTCCTCTTTTGCAATTGGTCCTAGTAAGCTTTGAGTCACGCCTCCCGCGCTGCCATCGCTGACAGGCTGCTGGGACTGTCACTCAAGAAGTCCCCGCCTCCCAACATGGGCCCGCCCTTCAATATGACCCCGCCCCGTGGTGGCCCCGCCTCCTTTATCGCTGCTAACAGGCTTCCGAGGCTGTCACTCGAGGAGTCTCCGCCCCTTCATGGCCTCGCCCCTCACCGTGACTGGGATCTCGCGTGAAGAACCGCGGGCACGGCGGCGGCTCGACTGCCCGGTAGCGCGCGGAGCGGGCGGGCTCTCTCACACGAGCGCTTCTTTGCCGAGAGCCTGGAGCTGCGGCAGCGCAGGCCTGGGCCGCCGTGTCTCCGCCGCCCACTTCAGTTTTCCTCAGGGCTCCGGGGGCCGCTTGTCCGCCGCTGCGCCTCAGGTGAGGGTGCTCGGCAGGTCGCGCCTAGAAGGGGACCCGGGGTGGCCGTGGCAGGCGGGCTCGAGACGGGGGCGGCTCCCGGGGATGCGCGGCGCTCCGAGTGCGGAGATCTCGGTGACGCGGTGGGGACCGGAGGTCCCGGAGCTCCTTCGGCTGTGGGGGGGGGGGGGGTGGCCGCCCGGACGGTCCGGGGTCTCTAGGGTCGCGGGAGCGCTGCCCGTGTCTTGAGAGCCCGTGTGCTGGCATCGCGCGGTTCCGGGACGAGGGGACCATTTCTGAAGATCCCGGGCACTTGGGGGGCGTAGAATACAGTTTAGCCAGGTCCCGAGGGCACGGGAAGCTACGAGCGGGGAGGGGGTCTGCTTGACATTCCTGAAGTAAAGCAGGAGGGTGTCCGGGTTCCGGAGACCAGTGTTTGTTTAAGGTCGCCTTGGGGTGATAGGGCGCTGCCTCGGTCCCTCCCGGGCAGGAACCGACTGGGTGGGTGTGGGTGGGGGCGGGAGCGAGCTAGGGGAGACCAGTGTCTGTCTGTATTGGGGTTTCTGCTTCGCCCAGAGGGGGGCGGTAACTGTGCCTGACGGTCCCCAGTCCTTTTCGGGGCGACGGGGAGAGTGATCTCGCCATGTGGGCGCGGCTCATCAGGCTCTGAGTCTCCAGGGGTGCCAGACCTGGGTTCAGGAGCCACTCCATGGCACTGCTTGTGGTTTTCGGTATCTAACGGTTTCGATCTGGTCTCTTTCCTTTAGATGAGATTTGACTCAGTGCTTAGTTGGAAGATTGATCGGGGCAGTTGCCTAGTTGGAGACACAGTGGGTTTGTTCTGCTGTTTTCTTTGCCCCGGGATCCCTTTGGGGACGCGCTGGAGCGGAGAAGCGATACCCGACTTGGGCATGCTGTCTGGATGGGTTTGTTGTTGTTGTTGTTGTTTGCTTTTTGGAGGCGAGTATCCGAAGGTTGAGAGAGGATTTATTTAGTTCCTGGAGTAGGGACGGCTGTGCGATTTGGACTTTTCTGTTTGATGGTCCTGCATGGTTTAATGTGTCCTGAATTTGCCTGAGTTTAGGCAGTCAGATAGTGCCAAGTAGTGGCCTTTCTATACAGTATTTGTGTATTTGTGGAAGAGGGGTAACTACAATATATATATATATGGTCTCAAAGCCAGATTTCGACAAAAGCAGCATTGGCAACCTGTTAAGAATGGCCTATCAAGCCCTTTTAGAGAATCCTGGTACATCAGTTTTTCTGGGATTTAGATCTTACAGAGTCCTTGATGACTCTGCCAGACTTAGGTGGAACTTAAAATGACTTCTATGTATCTGCCCGGCAGTGATTTAAAAATATGTGTCAGAGTGTCTGTGCATTTGCCTGACAGTTGTCCTGGTTAGGCAGTCTAATGTCACCTTAGTCTGAGAAAACGTTACTGTGGAGCAGGAACATTACCATGTGCAGGAAATACGATGTAAGCAGAGTGATTGAAGCAAAGAAGTTTGCTTTGCCATTTTGTCAGTTTTTAAAAAAGGTCATTTCTTTTGCCTTTAAATCAGAAAGGTTAGGGAAAAGGTACTGAAGGTTTGCATTTTGCAGTCATAAGACAGAGCGACCAAGAGAGTGTATTGAGTGATAGTAGGTCTTGGGGATGGGATGGGTTGGTTTTCATTTTCTCACACTAATGTACCAGATCGGCTTTTATGTCCATCAAAACTGATAATTGAGTAAGTATTTGGTTGAAACCAAAGCCTAAAAAAATTGAAGTAGATCAACATCTTCAAACTGTTTTGTTTTGTTTTGTTTTTTGAGAGAAAGACAAATGACAAAGTAGGCAAAATTCTGAAGCATTAAATTCTTTTTTTGAAAAGCTTTCAGACTTCATAGATGGGCCCATCTGCAAAGACTGGCTCATCTGCTAGATGGCATGATGCTGATTGGAGGTGCAGTGATTGCTGTAATGCATCCTACACGAAGAAAGAAGCAACAAATAAATAAAATCATTAAATTCTGAAGTTGCTGAGAAAAAAACACTGTCCTCGAGAATCAGATTATTTTCCTTAAATAACTTGCAAGTAATAATTTACATTTGGTGTGATAACCAGGTCAGCTCTCTACCTTCAGAATTATTTTTTCAAAAATTAAATTATGATTAGTAGAGTTTGGGTGTTAAGTAAATGTTGTCTCTTTGAAAATGTGTTTTGATGTAAGCATGAAGAAAATCTGTAGCAACACAAGTGGAACTTATTATGTTTGGAGCTGTCTTTTGGAGGTGGATGCATGGCAGAGAGCTGTCTGATTTCATACTTGAACATTCTTTGAATCCATTTCAGTGAGCAGCTTACATGAAAATTAGATAAGTCCAAAAATGCAAACAGTTTGAACACTGCAAGTTTGTGAATTACACAGTTTTTTCAGGCTTTTGTCAATGTTGCCTCGTCTTTCTGTTTGTACTAATGAAAAAAAGATAGTTACCTAAAAGTTATGGGGGGGAATCACAACAAAATTTAAAAAAACCACACAGCTAAATGTTAAAAACACTTCAAAATACTGGTTATTTGATTATATATAAGGGTGTGTTTGTGTGTATATGTATGTGGTGGGAGAGTGCTCTTGTGTTGACTTCAGAACAATTTTTTATTCTTTGGCCAAATATAGGCATATTTAATAGATATGTTTTTCTTGTGAAGCATATAAACCATAAAAATAGTTTTATAGTTTCATTATTACAGTACTGAAAAATGAGAGTACCAAAGTGGGTTTTGAATTATCATTCAAAATTCTAGAATCATAACATTATATACTAAAGCAATCTCAAGAAAGGAAATTGTAAGGCATGCATTCTTGTCTTCACTGTACTGCTAATAGTGTGACCTTTGATAATTCTTAGAGTCACAGGGTCTCGGTTTCTGTGTGTAAGCATATATGTAAATAATGGATGCAAGAGAAACCCTGTCAATAATCTGTACAAACCTCAGTTCCATGGATTGTACTGCATCCGTTTTTGTGTTACAGATCCTATAATGTAACATGTACAAAAAGCAGAGAGAGATAATTTACATATATACATTACACATCTGATTTTAGAAGCTTCTTTATAGAGATTGATAGTATTTAATTTGAGAATATACATTCATGAAGGTAAATACTTTTCTTTGGGTCATTTAGCTTTGCATATTACAGCACTCTTATTGTTTTTAGCATTTTGGGTCTTTTGTATCTGATTCTTTACTCTGTGGTAGAATACTGTGCAATAATGTTATGTTCTTATTTAATTCTGAGTAGAATGAGCAGCTCTCTAATCATTGGCCCTAGGCTTGACCCCTGTATTCTATCCTTATACTGCTTCCAACATAATGCGGATCTCATTGCTCCTTACTTAACACCCATTGTTCTTTAGCTCCAGGATTTAGTTCTGTCATTACAAGGCCTTTCATCATCCCTTCGGCTCATCTGCATTTTCTCCACCATAAACCTCAAGCTCCAGTTGTACTAATGAGAGCTGTTTACTGAATGAACCATTAGATTCTTCAGTTAGATTCTTTCTTCTGCTTAGCATGATTTCTCGTATTGCTGTAAAAACTGATTTTTTTTTTATATATCTTGAACTTCACACTATGCATTTTTTATCTTTTTCTCCTCTCTGGCCCTTTCTCTTCTTACCTCCCTGGGTTATTCACTCAGATCATCTTGCTAATTCATTCTTGTAAGTTTATTAGTTTGCTACATTGTTTCTTTTTCTGAATTCAAAGACAGGCTTATATTTGCTGTTCATTTTTGAATCCCTCTTGCTTGTTTACACATACTTGGATCTCATCTTACATATTTCAAATCTAGAACCCAAACTCAGTGTCTTCATAGTGTCCAAGATTAATTAATCTCACATGTCAGGCTTGTTCTACTTTCCTAAACTCATCTTCCTCTAGATTTTCTTCTCTTGTCTTATCCACAAACTGATATCAGGACTGCAGCCTCATATTAAGAATTGTTTAGCTTTGCATTTTACAACAGTCTTGCTGTTTTGTTTTGTTTTTTAAGCATGCTTGTTTTTTGTATCTGATCCCTTACTCTGTGGCAATACCTGTGCAGTAATGTTATGTTCTTATTTAATTCTAGGTAGAATGAGCAGCTCTCTAATCATTGGCCCTAGGCTTGACCCCTGTATTCTATCCTTATACTGCTTCCAACATAAAGCGGATCTCTTCAATAGAGCTGTATATCCATAAAGACATTCTATATGCAATAGTGGTTGAATAGTTTCCTCAGAATCACATACCCATCCTATCTGTAAGATATTTTCTGCTAAACTAGTTGTGAACACTGATGTGAAACAATTATTTGAACCAGGTATGATGATGATACACACCCATTAGTCCAGCACTGAGGAGTCTGGGGCAAGATTTTGTGTTTGAAATCATCCTGAGCTAAATAGTGAGTGAAACTTGGTCTCAAAAAACAAAAACCCTGATATTTAAAAGGAATACTATGATTCCCGATTTTCCCTCCAAGAAAAGTGATGCTGAGGATCTTAGAGTCTTAAGGACAGGGCTCAGAGAAAATCCTGAACTTGGATCATTGTCATATGGGGACATCTCAGTGCCTTTACTCATCTTCTTCCCTAATCTTGTTATTTTTCCCTTCCCTTTCTTCCTTCCTTCCTTTCTTCCTTCCCTCCTTCCTTCCTTCCTTTCTTTCTTTCTTTTAAAAAGTCTCTTCACAAATTACTGAGTTATTAGTATCAGGTTTACCAGTAATCTCCTATGTGCCTTATGTGACTGTATACCAACTAAAAGGGTTACAAAAAGGGTATAAAACCTAATCACTTCCCTGAAGGGACGTAGCTGTGTATTTGAATGAAGTCATCTTCTAGTTCAGTGGTTCTCAATCTTCCTAATGCTGCGACCCTTTAATACAGTTCTTCATGTTGTGGTGATCCCCAATCGAAAAACTATTTCATTACTACTAAATAATTGTAATTGTGCCTGGCGATGGTGGCACATGCCTTTAATCCCAAC